TGAGATATTTTGATTTAAAATTTTAAAAAAACTTACTAAAAACGATTTGCTTGGTTTCTACTGGCAGCCCCCTATATATTAGCAAAATATATAAATGTAATTCTATATAAGTTATTAAGGTCCAAAATCTTGCACAAGAATTTCACAACAACGCAATTATCAATTATGGAATATTATGAAATACATACGTAATAAATTACACAATATTACACATATTAAATCGCACTAGTAATAAGAATAATGAAACTTTTATATTAATTATATAAAAACAAAAAAATTGCACTATTTCGATTTTATTTAGAATTGATCAAATATAATAGAATTAATTTGAAATATTTCAAAATATTTAAAAATAATTTGTAATAATTCGAATTAATTTGCAATATACTAAATTTATTAAACTAAATATAATTTATTTAAATAAACAAAATTAATATTTTATAATAACTTTATTATTTTATTTTGTTTAAAATATTACATATAAAAAATATAAAAAATAAAAAAACACAGCATTATTCATATATAAAAAACAAAACAAAAAACTTTTATACATCAATATTTGTATTTTTCTTATAATCATCTTTTTCTTTCTTAACATCATCTTCCAAATCTAATTCTACTAGTTTGTTTATTTTTAATTTTTTTAAATTAAATTAAATCGCACAGTTGCACATTATTTTGAAAAATTGCTAAAGTGTTAAATTTGTATATTAATAATTTTATATTAAAAAAATATAAAAAAATAAAAAAAATACAATATTATTCATATATAAAAAAAACAAAACAAAAAAAACTTTACTTATCATTATTAGTATTTTTTCTTATAATCATCTATATCTTTTTCTTTATCAACATTATATTTCAAATCTAATTTCACTATTTCGTTTATTTTTAATATTTTTTAATGTGTATTATTTTGAAAAATTGCTAAAGTTTTAAATTTGTATATTAATAATTTTACTGTATATTAAAGAAATATAAAAAATAAAAAAATAAAAAAAATACAGTATTATTTGTATATAAAAAAAAACAAACCAAAAAAAAACTTTATTTATCATTATTTGTATTTTTCTTATTATCATCTATATCTTTTTTTTATCAACATTATCTTCTGAATCTAATTTCAATATTTCATTTATTTTTAATATTTTTTAATAAATTAAATTAAATTGCATAGTTGCGCATTATTTTGATAAATTTATGAAAATATTTACAAGTTTGTGAAAGAGTAAAATTGTCAAAACAATAGTAATTGTTGATTTATTTATATTTTATTTTTAGAAAATTTATATAGCAAAATGCACATGATTTTATTTATTATCCCTTAATTGGTAGAGATTTGCAAGAAATTTGCCTGCATAATTACTATAAATATATCTTTGATCTATTTTTTTAATTATTTAAAATATTTAAATAAAATTTAACATGATAATAGTTGAAAATAAAAATTTCATTTTTGCAATGTTTGTATTTATATTATAAGACAAAAATTTTAGTTTGCTTATAAGCTAAAAATAGACAGTTTTTAAAGAAATTTTTTAACTAAAAAATTAATTTATAATTTCTTGATGAACTCTTTAAATATTGATTTTAAAAATATAGTTTTTAATACAATATTGTAGTTTATATAGTGCTAAAAACCTTAACTCGCCAATAAATTACATACACTTTAAAATCTATTAACACTTAATACAAATAAAATTTTAAAAAACTAAACCAGTAACTTTGTTTTTATAATGTTTTTTATCAAACTACCGGTTAATTTTTTAAAATAAGCTTTATATAAAAAGTTATAAGCATTTAAAATCAAAATATTTTAATATGTTTTATCTAAATTGAAACGTATAATAAACATGAATTCAGCCAATAAAATCACAGCATTCAATCACATGATTTATTCTACCCAATCATATTACATACTTTAATTATATGTATTTACTTCGCGCTCTAACAAAAAAAAACAATGCAAAATTTTATTATATGTATGCTCTCCTAATTCTAAACCTAATAATATTTGCACAAAAAAGCAGCAGTTTATTTTTAATCAATTATCATAGACCATGAATTTCTAAATGACTATTTTAAATCATATAAAAATGTCAGGTTTTATACAAAATACACGGTCTATTTAAACTTACATACAAAAAAAATGTTTACCGATTAAATCTTGCATTTTCAGTTCCAAGTCAGGGACTTGTTGATCCATTATATTTGATTAATTTGATACATCATTGATTCATATTATACTTTAATTAATTTGACAAATTGTTTGATATATTTGATTGATTGTTCGAATCCTTAAATTTAAAGATGGGCAATTGTTAAGATCTTTGCAAAATAAGCCTGATCAGATTTTAATTATATCATAATAAGTAATAATCAGTAGTAATAAGCAATATTAAGTACTGATATATAAAATACAAAAGGTAAAAATTACTTACTTATTACTTTGCTCATCCCTACTTAAATTGTTGTTACAATACCCGCTTAAGTCCCAAACAAATTAACAATAAACCATAAATGTAGTAATTACTTACAATAGAAATCAATATTTATTGTAATTATAAATCCATTTATTCCATCATTTGCTCGATATTCTTCAGAATTCGATGATATTTATTAACAGCCCACTCAGCAGCTACACCTTTTAGTTCTTTATTATATGCATCCATATATCTCTATAATTTACAGGAAAATTTGTAAATAGTGGTTACAGGAACATTTTTAAAAACTTTTGGAACAAGATTTACCAAATCCTTATAGTTATAACTACATAATCTTCTTGCTTCTTGTTTTATAAAACCCCAATACTGTTCTATGAAATTACATTTACAATGAAACTTCGGATAGCGCTTAAAAATATGCTTTGCATTAATTGCAGCTTCTTCTAACAGAGACCGTTGTTCAAGAAAATCGGGCTGTAATAACATGATTCTTTGTGCACAGCAACCTGACCTTTCTGGGTCATCATTAGTATGTTTTTCAGAACATTTTTCGCATACTAGCAGAACCTTTTCTGTGGGCCAGAGTTTTTGCTTTTTAAGCACTTGCTTTAAACTTTTTTGTTTGTCTCTTAACTCCTCCTTTGGATGTCATTCAGAAATACTATCAGTTGCACACATTTTTTTATATTTTCATCAATAAACTAACCATTTCACATCACTAGTTGCTTTCCTCCAGAACTCAAGTTCATCCTTTTTGCGATTAGTGCGTCCTCTGCCATAGTGTTATGGTTAGTAGATTGATCAAAGCAAAACACACCGATACACCCAGGGTGCAATATTTCAAATATCGAGATTACTTTATTTACAAGCTGGTCAAGCATGTGCTCCACCTTCCAATATCTACAGAATGAATAACAAATATTTCTTTATCTTCAATGTGTGAGTTTTCATATAGCTGTTGATCAGATAGTCATAGTAGTTCATGACACGGACACAAAAAAGCAGAGACTATTGTAGAACGTCCTAGATGTTTTGGGCGCAAAATAGTTTCACCATCATGAATCCAAATTCGTCGCCACCCATTATTAGCATAAAAATAACACTCATTATGTGTTATTTGGACATATTCTTTCTTCTCTAAATTGAGCTAAGGTTCTAATATAAATTCTAATGATTCACCAACAAAATCTTTCATGGTTCGTTTATATAAAAACATTCTCTTTACCCATTTATTTCTATATGCCACCACATCTGGCCTCTCATGACTATCAAAGTAAATACCCTTTCTTCTCTCATTGTATCTAAATCCCCACGAATATATATAACTCCTACATGTCCTCTTTAATATAGTGTCTTTTTTGATATGACCAATTAATTTTGGAAATAGTATGTCTTTAATATATGCTTTCGAATTACTAGAGATACGTGCTTCCAGTTTTTGCTGCCTTAACCATTCTTTACAGCTTTCACTAAAATCCTCATCATTGATCAAGCTTTCGAATTTGGTGTGTTTACCTTGGCGATAAGGAAGAAGCTCTCCCATCTTTATGAAATGATTTTCCCAAATCTGAATGCATTTAGCTATATAACCTCCCTTTATTCCATATAAAATGTGAAATTTGGTTAGCAGCATTCATTTTACTTTGTCCTTCTAATAATAATTGTATATATCAACATATACTTAAGAGACATAAATGATTATATATAAAGATTTTACTGTTTTCCTTCGCAGATTTTTCTATAGAACATTATTGGTTAAGTTCTTCCAAATGGTTATGTAAGCTTTCAGTCAACCACAAAGATGAATCTGATATAGTAATTGGAGAGGGGTATAATGGTGAGAATGCTGATGATTCTTGATAAATCGGTTAGAAAGTTATTAATAAACTCAGTTAAAAAAATGTCTCAAGTTTTTTGATTCCTTTTGCATTCTCTTCATCATTTTTTTTTTTGTCTCCATGTCGTTGTTCTTGATGTTCCAGTGTATACTAGTCTAAGACTTCTTGAAGTATCTTTATGCTATCTGAGAATTTTATTTATAAGTCTTGTTTCTACTTCCTCGAATTCTATTAGTTCATCTTCTGTCTATTCCTCTTGCGATTCAATATTGGTTGTATTTTGTGGCTTCGTAAATTCCTGATTCTTTTGGTTGAGATAGTGGCCTTTTTCTCTTAGCAAATTATCTATTTGCTTTTGCTTTTTTGTTCAGGGTGCCATAAAAGTGAACAAAGAAGGACGTTTACCAATCACTTATAAATGAATGAAAGCCCGAAGTGCTTCCAATTCTTTGTTGTTAATTCTAATTGCAATGTCAAAGACCTTTTTATCATTAGTCACCAATCATGTTTCAGTTCTGCAGTAAAAAGCCTCAGTGCATATTTGACTACCCTATATAGAAATTAAGCCAAGAAAAATTTTTTAGTATGCTTTTTTCATATGTACGTACATACAAAAACAAAAATTGTATTGTTCTAAAAAAGATCATGAACAATCATGAATGGTCAATGAAATTATACCGATAAAGCACTATTAACAAGACAGAATTAACTCATATACATATATACACACGTACATACATACTTAAGGTTGAATGAGTACTATGGCTAAATACTTATAGCGTCACAATGTACTGTTTATACGCATGTACGTTCATACATACCTTGTGTTCTAGCTTTACTAATTTCTTCACCAACCTGCATATTGATTAAATTTTTGAGGACTGGTTGTATCAAATATGGGACCAGTATGAAAATCAAACAAAGCATATTACTTACAGTTTTAGAATACTGTACTTAGAAAATGAAACTTAACGCGTATAATTTTCAAGATCTTAAATTCAGTATATATATGTGTCTAATCAGAACCAATCAAATTATGCAATATGATTGGCTATTTATATATTACACTGCATGCTCAAATTTGAAACAAAGACACGTGACTGGCGAGTTAAGGTTTCTGGCACCATATAAAGAATGACAACTTTAATTATTACACTTTTAGTGATTTACTAATAAAAATTAAGATTTGTCTTAAGAGTAAAAAATTTTTTATAGGTGAAAAACATATAAAATTTAAAAAAACCTAAAAAAGAAATTGTATAGTAAAAATTTCAATACAAAAAACTTTAAACTTTTATTGTGCTAAAGTTTTTTAATAATTTTAAAAAATTTTCTTAACAAAGCTAATAAAACAAA